GTACAGAAGTCAAGACAACTGCCAGATAGAACGGACTGTTCTAAACTTGGGAAGAAAACTATAAATCACAGGGTAACCTCAAAGAAAAATGATAAAACTTCATATCAAAATAAAAAAGAAGACCAGCACAAATATTTAGCAAATACTAAAACAACAGCAATGAAGGAAGTGATAACACGCTTCATAAACAAAATGAGCTCAGCACAGAAAATTATATGGAACAAAGAAATCAACACCATGAAAAGCACGTAACAAAAATGACAGCAACAAATTCATATTTGTTGGTAATTACATATCTGGCAAGGGACTTATCTCTAAGATTTATAGAAAACTCTAATAACTCAACAGGAAAGGAATTAACAATCCAATTGAAAAATGGGCAGAAGACATGAATAGACACACTTTACCAAGGCGGACGTTCAGGTGGCCAGCAAATACAGTAAGAGATGCTCATGATCACTGGCCATCAGACAGAGATGCAAATCAAAACAATGAGATACAATCTCACCCCAGCACTGATGGCACTGTTCAACAAGACAGAAAATAACAAATACTGGTAGGGATGTGGAGAGATTGGGACTCTCATACACTGCTGGTGGGACCATGAAGTGATACAACCACTGCGGAAAGCAGTATGGTAATTCCTTAGAAAGGTGGAATTGGATTGACCCAGCAATTCCATTACTAGGTATATATCCTAAAGAAATGAAAGCCAGGACAAGAACAGATATATGCACACCCATGTTCATTGCAGTACTATGTATAATAGCAAAAAGATGGAAACAACCTATGTGCCCATCAATGGAAGAGTGGATGATTAAACTATGGTACATAAACACAATGGAATGCTATGCAACACTAAAGAATAATGTAGAGTCTGCGAAACACCGCATAACATGGATGAACTTGGAGGACATTACACTGAGAGAAGTAAGTCAATCACAGAAGGACAAATACTGTGTTAGTTCGTTGTTGTGCAGGATCAAGGAAAGGTTTATATATGGAAGGAAACTTTCTTTGTTCACTGTGAAGAGTGGGAGAGGAGGGGAGAGAACACTGCAAAAAAAAAAATGCATTAACCATGTCACTTCAGTTTTGTGTATTTCACTGTACATAAATTATATTTCAATAAAATGCATTTTTAAAAAAATCAAAGAATGTATTGCACAGGACAAATCTGCTGTAAAAGACCTCTTTAAGGTAAAATGTCACTTTGAGGACTAAGGTGTGCCTGAACCAAACCATGGTATTTTCAATCACCTTATATGCATGTGAAAGCTGGACGATAAATAAGGAAGAATGAAGAATTGATGTTTTTCCATTATGACACTGGTGAAGACTATACCACTGAGTGCCAGAAAAATAAACTAGTATGTCTTAGAAGATGTACAGCCAGAAGGCTCCACAGGAGAGTATGGTAAGACTTCATCTCGTGCACTTTGGACATGTTATCAGGAAGGACTAGCCCCACAGAAAGATACCATACTTGGTAAAATAGAGGGTCAGTGAAAAAAAGGAAGACTCTCAATGTGATGGATGGACACAGTGGCTACAACAATGGGCTCTAACATAGCAACAAATGTGAGGATGGCACAGGACCAGGCAGTGTTTCGTTCTGCTGTACATAGGGTCACTATGAATTGGAACAGACTTGATGGCACCTAACAACAATATGCTCATGACTCCTACTTCACTGATAAGGTCAACAATGTACTTTTTACCCCCTTACATTTTAGTGGTTTTAATCTTTTCATTTTATTGTTACAAAAAAATAAAAGTTGACATTTGTATACAGTTATCCCTCAGTATTTGTGGGAGATTTGTTCCAGGACCCCCAAGAATATCAAAATCTGCAGATGCTCAAGTCCTTAATATAAAATAGCATAGTATTTGTATATAACCTATGCATATCCTTCCATAGACTTTAAATCATCTCTAGATGACTTAAAATACCTAATAAGATGTAAATGCTGTATAAACAGTACTTTACACTCCTAGTATTTGAGGGACTGCTTTGACCACTTAACTGCTTCCCCCCCCCCCGAATTCGATCCGTGGTTGATTGAATTTGTGGATATGGAACTCGCAGCTACAGAGGGGCAACTGTATATGTAAATTCTGACCGTATAGACTAAGGAAAATGAGCCAACTGAAAAGTATGCATCAATATATGTATTTACATATAAAGGTTTAAATGAAATACATGTATCTGTAAATACTCAAAACTAAAATAACGCTAGTAGGGCCATAGTCAGAAGCCTAAAAAGTACTCACCGCAAAGTCAAAGTATAGTCTCCCTGCATTTTTGTTGAGGCATCTCGGACCAGGAAGGTACCATCTGGCATGTCCCGTAATTTGTCATTTACTTCTTCCCTAGAGAACAGAAATATAGGAAAATTAACATATAAAAATATCAGTTATCTTCATCAGCTGAAAAAAAAAAAAAAAAAAAAATCTCATTTCAATCAAGTAGACTCTGACTCACAGTGACCCCCATTGGGTTTCTGAGGCAGTAAAAATCTTTACAGAAGTAGATTGCCCCATCTTCCTTTCACAGAGCTACAGGTGGTGGGTTTGAACCACCAATATTCTGGTTAGCAGTCAAATGCCTTAGGCACTGCAGCACTAAAACTCCTTAAGGCTAGTTATAATTATGATGGGTATGTCTAAGGTTATAGAATCCTAGAGGGCTTCAGAGGTCATTTAGTTCTTCCCACTAGATAAGCTATTTCTGTTTTGATTTCTGTTATACAATCTAAGGAAGGGCTATTTGCCTTTTTTAAAACTCTTCCAGATTTCAACTGTGGTAGGGGATGATGTTTCCAATAATTCTCGAGGGCTTCCTTAGGCAGATCTGAACTTGTAGAGTTTCAGGAAAAACTGCCAGCTGTTTAGAAAGAAGGTTATAGTTAAGCAGCAGTGGCAGCTGTATTTGATCAGAGAGGGAAAACATTAAGTTCATAACCTTTCAATAGGATATTCTCTAATTTTAATTTATACTAATAACAGCTTTCTTGTACAATTGGTTTAGGACTTTAAGGAACAACACTAGAACACTCAAAAGAAACTGAAAGGACATAAAGTATCGATGAGTTACAGTAGAAACACATGATCTTAAAATAGGAATTTAAATGGCATTAGTTACAATATTAAAATTTTAATTTTCTGATCAATTTTAATACAGTGAAACATGCTGAGTGCCGCATCTCAACTCGATAAGGCGAACTTATTTTTCTGGGTCTCACAAGTTTTCCACCTTCAACAGAGTGCAGTCTTCCACTTTTAAATGGCTCTCTCTTATTAGGGAAATACCTAAACCTTCTCTGACAGGTTTCTACTTTACACAGGTTCTAACTTTCATAGGTTTTACTATATTAAATACATTGAGTCCCTCTCTAGGATCAAAATTATCCAAACCACCTTTTGCCTAATAAGTAAATTTGCCCTAGAGTCCTGTTTCTCCAAGTGAGTTCTATGAAGAATCTGCATTGAAACGCAGAAAACTTTGTGAGGTTTTTAAAATGCTGATTCCTGGACCCCACCTCACTTGATTCTTGTGCATGCAAAGATCTGGGAACCATAGTCTTAGAGAAAGAAAGGTGAGGGAAATGAGTACCTATAGGTAACTTTTAGGAGCTCCGGTAACATAGTGCCTAAGGCATTTGACTGCTAACCAGAAGGCTGGCAGTTCAAACACACCAGCCACTCCTCAGAAGGAAGGGTGGGCAATCTACTTCCATAATGATACTGCCTTGGAAACCCAAGGAGGGGTCGCTATGAGTTGGGCCAACTCGATGACACATAACAACAACAACATAAGTATCTTTTATTCTAAAACTCATGTAATTGTCCTGAATGTGCAAGTTCCCCTTATTCAGAAATCTGTCCTAAACATAGTATTAAAGGTAATAATCACACCGATAGTTTTGTCACTTTTTTGTGGAAGAAAATGCATTAAGACACTTTTGAAATCTTCCTACATACAATTTTAAAAAGGGTAACTATGAAAGACAACTAATGGGGCAGTGGTTGTCCAGTGGCAGAATTCACACCTTCCATGCAGGAAACCCTGGTTCGATTCCTGGCCAATGAACCTCATGTGCAGCTACCACCTGTCTGTCAGTGGAAGCTTGCATGCTGCTATGATGATGAACAGGTTTCAGCAGAGCAGAGCTTCCAGACTAACATGAACTAGGAAGAAAAGCCTAGCGATCTACTTCTGAAAATCCACCAATGAAAACACATATAATCACTATAATCACAATGCAGGCAGTATTTTGTTCCATCACCTACGGGGTCGTCATGAGTCAGAGGCCAACTCCATGGCAGCTAAGAACAATAACAAATGGGGCATTAAAAACTTTTGTCTTAACTAGTAATTCTCAAAAAAAAATAAAAACTGAATTTTTCATAGTAGAATTCTAGTTACCTTGAAATATCCCCCCAATACCATTCTGCATCCTGAAGAGAAGAAGCAGAACTGTCTTTCATTCCATTTGTAACTGCTGAAGTCATTGGCTTAGACGGCTTTGGTGGAAGAGCTAAAAGAGAAGTGGATAAATATAAATTATTATTTGTTGTATAATTTCCTTAGTCAAGAGCAGTTCATCAACTAAGCACATTAAGATTCAAATAATTACCTATCAAATTAGTGTTAATTTAAACTTTAGCCAAGGAGTTTTAGAAATCTAGCAATAATTGCCTGTTGTTGTTGTTGTTATGCGCATCAAGTCGATCCAACCCCTAACGACCCCTCCTTGGGTTGCCGGGGCAGTATCACTACAGAAGTAGGTTGCCCAACCTTCCTTTCCAGGAGTGGCTGGTGGGTTTGAACCGCCAGCCTTCTGGTTAGCAGTCAAGTGCTTTAGGCACTATGCTACGAGAGCTCCTAATAACTGCTTAAGAAGCAAAAATGTCAAGCTACTTGGTTTTTTCCAAGCTACTTGGTTTTTTCCTTCTTCTAAAGCACTGTTTTCTAATTCTGAACAGATGTCAAAAAAATTACATCGTCTCTCAAAATACAAAGTGAAGTCCCTTCCCAACAAATCAGTCAGTCCAAAAGCCACTAAGTGGGGCTGGGCAATGTAGGAGTGTAGTGGCAAAGAGGTGGGTGCCAGACTCTAAACAGATGGAGATTATATCCATTTGGGGCAGGCAGCTGCACAGGATCTCAGAGCTCAAGCAGGACAAAAAGAGGGTTTTCACAGGTGAAAGCCTGGTATAGGGTGTTAAAACCTGAATGAAGTAAGAAAGGTAGTGGCCTGGGGCTGGGCGGCAGAGGATGTCAGAGATCAAGTCAATGAAGAGGTAGTCCTTGGAAGTACAAGGTGCTGGCACTGAAGTAAGTTGAGGAAGGAAGGTTAAGAAGAGGGACAAGAGGAGTATTAGGGATTGAACTACATTCCCCAAAAATGTGTTGTAAACCCTAACTACCATACCTGTGGATATAATCCCATTTGGAAATAGGGTTTTCTTTGTTAGGTTAATGAGGCCGTATCAGTGTAGGGTGTGTTATAAGCCAATCACTTTTGAAATATAAAACAGCAGATTAGGCACAGAGGCAAACAAGCACAGATGGGGAAGACACACTTCACTCCAAATGAAGATCACCAAGGAACCAAGGAACAAAGGCTGAAAAGAAACAAAGACTTTCCCTCAGAGCCAAAAAGACAGACAGATAGATAGACAGATAGACAGACAGATAGATACATATAGATATAAATAACTGGCACAGTGGCACTTAAAAAAATACCTCACGTGGAGAAGGTGTAATTGGTAAACAAACGTAGAAGGTACATGTTATTTGCGTAAGCATACAGTATACAAAAATGGCCAAGAAACACATTTGATGGTCAATATCATTAGCCATCAGGGAAATGCAAATCAAAACCACAATGAAATACCTCTTCATACTCACTAAAACAAAAACCAAACTCACTGCCATCAAGTCGATTCTGACTCATAGCAATCACTGGGTTTTCAAGGCTATGTATCTTTATGGATGCAAACTGCCTCATCTTTCTTCCACGGAGCAGCTAGTAAGCTTAAACCACTGACCTTTTGGTTAGTGGCCAAATGCCTTAACCACTATACCACCAGAGCTCCTTATAACCACTAGAATGACTATAATTAAAAAAAAAAAAAAAAGATAATAACAAATGTTGGCAAGGATGTAGAGAAATTAGAAACCTCCTACACAGCTGATGGGAATGCAAAATGGTACAGCTGCTTTGTAAAACAATCTGGCAGTTCCTCAAAAGGTTAAACACTGACTTACCATATGGACCAGCAATTCTATTCCTAGATATATACCCAAAAGAAATGAAAATATATTTCTACACAAAAACTTGTATATGAATTATTATGGCAAGTGAAAGAAACTAGTCACAAAAGACCATGTATTACATGATTCTGTTGTCTAGAACTAGCAAATCTATAGACATAGAAAGATTAGTGGTTGCCTAAGGTTGATTATTGGGGGAAAATGGGAAGTAATGGGTAACGGGTTCACAGTAATGAAAATGTTCCAAAATTGATGGTGGTGATGATTGAACTATTTTGTGAATATACTAAAAAAAAACATTGAAATACATACTTTATGAGTGAACAATATGGAAATGGAATATGAATTAAATTTTAATAAAGCTGTTATTTTAAAAAAGAAGTAGTCTCTGAGAATATCAGACTTCTGAAATTATTAGATGAGAAGAGAGCTTGTTATAATCCATACTTTTTCCAAAATAGCTACTTATTCATACTCTACCTTTTTTGAAAAGGATTTTGACATACATGGCTTATAATAGTGGGCAAGGAGCTCTGATGTCGTAGTGTCTAAGGCATTTGACACCAGAAGGCTGGCAATTCAAACCCACCAGCCACTCCATGGGAGGAAGACTGGGCAATCTACTTCCGTGAAATTTAAACCTGTGCTATACACACTGTGCTAAAGTTACAAAAAGTACAAAGATAAGGCCATCCCAACACTCAAAAAAGCAAATCTAGAGAGAAGGACACATGCAAACACTTGACCATAATACTCAGCAGAATGAGGTAAATACTGTAATAAAGGTAAAAGCAAAGTGCAAGAGAAACTTGGCAAAAAATAAAAAGTAACTGATCCCCCTGGAGAAACTCTAAGTTACAACACCAAGATTACTAAACTTAGTCCTTATTGAACCAAGTGCCATCACCAGCAGGGTTCAACATGGACCATTCTGGCTGTTTGGATCAGCACTAAATGGAGTCACAGAGGTTTGCTGTTATCTATATGCCTTCTCTAAAGATCTATATTGAGTTGACTTGATTAGGTTGCATGGGGAAGTTGCCATTCATGGATAATGATAGTTCACTGAAAGCTCTGCCATCAGTGAACATATAATGACTATTTCACAACTATTACTCTGGGCTGGCCATAGCGTCCTCATACTTTGGCTTTTATCATCTGAAGAAATATAAGAATTAAATGATTTTCACAATGAACTACAAGATATGAACTGAAGCAATACTGGCGTATTTCAACATTCTTATCTATCATCATTCATACATAAACAATTATTTATTGAGACCTCTTATGTGCTAAAAGCTGGTAATATAGTAGTGAACTAGATAGAAACAGCCCTTATACTTATGGACTTTATAATCCAAAAAGATAAATTTCAAAATAATTCATTGTTCCTCAAATCATAGGTATGCTCACATTTAGCTCAACTAAACTAATCGAATCTTCAATCTAAGTATTCTACATTCCCTGGCAGTTGTCCCTATCTCACTTGCATATTACAGAACTTACTGAACAGAAATGAATAAAAATTTACCTTGGATAGTCTCCTAATTGCATGGAGATAAGCAGATTTGTATCTATATATCTTTTCCAGATTATATTATAAATAAAGGTAAAGAATTCCAAGTCATATACATTTTAAATACATAAAGCAGAACATACATATATAGATAGGAGCTACTTACAGTATCAAGTCACTTTTTTCAACCCCTCAACAAAGTAGTTCTTGCACTGGTTAGTACTGCAGTGCTGAATGATAACTGATTAAATGCACCTAAGCAAACTGCTTCCTAGAGGAGCATCCATAAGATACACACAGCACTTTTACTGCTATTTAATAGACAATAAGAAATAGTTTTCTTTTCATTTTCAGAAGCGATAAAGTTTAAAATTAGCAATACAGACATATTTTAATTCCATTTTAGTTAAGTTAACATGACCAAATGTGTGTGCACACCTGTGTATACGCATAAAAACACCTGGAAGGATACATGGACTGTTAATAGCAGATACAATAGGGATGGTGGGAGTAGCAGAGAACACTTTCTCTCTTTCTTTTTTTTTTTTTTTTTTTTGCAGAAGATCTTTGGCTCTGAAGATCCTCATCCTCTTTAAGTGCCAACATCCCCTGTGAAAATTTTATTTTTCTCAACCTAATTGTCTATATTGGACATCTCCAATTTCTCTCTCAGTTTTTCTTAAACCTATTCCAAAGTTTTTCCATTGCTCCACTAAAAGATTACCAGTGGCCTCAATGTTACTAAATCCAATGGTTTATTCTCAGTCTCCACTCACTGGACCAGATGGCACTGGTTTTAACATACTGGTACTCTCACTCCTTCATACACTATCTTCACTTGGCTTTCTGGGCACCTCACTCTTGGTTCTCCTACCTCACTGACTGCTCCTCCACATTCTCCTGTGCTGGTTCATCCTCTTCTCCCCTCTTAAAGTTGAATTATTCCCACCACTTGCTTCTTGGTGCTGTTCTATTTATACTCACTCTCTTGGTGACCTTGTCCGATCATGTGGCTTTAAATATCATCTAAATGCTGTTATCACTCATGTATCTCCAGTTTAGACCACTCTCCTTAACCCCAGATTTGTATATTCAACTATCTACTAGGTATCTCCACTCGGATTCGAATAGATAAAACTTAACATAGCTAAACTCCTAATCTATGCCCTCAAACATAATCTAACTCAGTCGATTCATTTTCTTTTTCCCTAAACCTTATCAGCTTTATAATATTACTTAATATTACTTATTACCATTTATGTTTTTTATATTGACACGTTGTTGTTGTTGTCATGTGCCATCGAGTCGGACTCGACTCAGAGCGACCCCTCCTTGGGTTTCCGAGGCAGTATCACTACGGAAGTAGATTGCCCCATCTTTCTTCCAAGGAGTGGCTGGTGGGTTTGAACTGCCAGCCTTCTGGTTAGCAGTCAAGTGCCTTAGGCACTATGCT